TATTGACTTTTTATTTTTTTAAAGAGAATTTCTTAGCACAAGTGCAGTCATATAGCGAACCCCATGCTGCATCAGGATCTACTCAACAAACAAATTATAAAGTGTTGTCCACCTAATGGCATGAATAGTGAAGAATCATTTTTTTTTTTGCAAGGGTCATTTGTAGTTTAAGGCGTCATGCAGTAATGCAAGTGCAGAATGAATATACAACTTTTCTCTTGTCATCTTCCCCTCCAAGGGCACGTCTACAAACAGAAAAAGCGGGCATGTTCTTTTGACATCCCTGTATTCCTCATTGTATGAGGAAGAAGTGATGTTCCGAAAGAGGAGATTTTTCCAAAGTTTGGCCCCATGTAGATGGACCACATTTCAGAAAAGCCTCCTCAGAAAAAAAAGCGGGAAAAGATACGCAAATTGCGGTTCACAATTTGCGTATTGTTTTCCAACTTTTCTTTGCAGTCTAGACATAGTCTAAGTTATCAATGAAAATATTGACTAGTAGTGGACTTGACTCACCTTTCAGGACCGTACTACATATGTCCTCTTGGTTTGATGGCAACCCATTGATAACTACTCTTTATGGCCTTTCAGCAATGGTAATTTCATCTAGTTTTGCATTTCTCTAGTTTGCTTATGAGAATGTCACATGGGAATGTATCAAAAACTTTACTAAAATCAAGGTATTTCACATCTGCTCCCCCTCCATCCAGTAGGCTTGTCAAAGAAGGAAGTTAAGTTGGTTTGACAGGACTCGTTCTTGATAAATCCATGCTGGCTATTCCTTATAACCCTTTTATCCTCCACGTGCTCACAAATTGACTACTTAATAATTTGTTCCAGGAACTTTTTAGGTATCTAACTGAGGCTGACGACTGGCCTGTGATTCCCCTGGTGCTCTTGGTTCTCCTTCTTAAAGACAGGTTCTATGTTTGGAGCATCTGCTTTTCGATAATGACAGTGGGCCAAATTCTTATCTGGTGTAAATCTGAGACAAGAGCTTGATCCAATATTCACTGATGTTAGTGGGAAGAATGTTTTTGCTTGACTTCAGTGGGCATTAGGGTGGGTACTTTTTACATTAGACCCACTCCTGCTCCCACTGAATTAAGAGAGAATCAGGTGAGCTGAATTCTTCATTGCCTTGTGGCCTCATTTACTGTGTGGCTGAAGGCAAAACACTAGCACTCCGGCTTGGCTGCAGTTTTTTTTGTTTTGTTTTGGGGTTTTTTGCACTTTCTGCGCAAGTGTGACTATAAATAGAAAGGGCAAGGCAGTGGAGGTGTGAGCCTATTGATTTCAGGTCCCTGGCGTCAACACTTGCTCCAGATGTAGCTGACGTGCAGAGAACAGCATTTCCCCCATTGCCTTTACCTCCTATTTCCTGTCACCTGGGCTGCTCTTGCAGCCAACCAGGGGCTGAGTAGCAGAATGATTGACAGGCTTCTGCATTCCACTTGTCACATGACTGGCCTTTTCTGTTCCCCTTGCCGCTCCAGGTCCCCTGGACACAGAAATGCAGCAGCTGGCCCGCACAAAATCAGGAGACCCAGAAATACGCCAGCAGTTCCTTAACATGAAGAATAGTGGACAGTTGGTGGACTGCAGCCTGTCAGCTCAAAAGCTAGTGAGCCTTCTGCTGGAGGACATGTTCGACTCTGGGGCACATGTAGACTTCTACGCAATTTAATCTGTCCGTCCCCTTACTTCTCTTTCCAGCATCTTGGCTTCTGCTTCTGCAACTGAGCTATCATAAAATGCCTTCTGCTTTTCAGACATGCTTACTGAGGGTATGCCTACACAACAGCATTATTTCGAAATATCTTATTTTGAAATAGTTAATTTGAAATAAGTTATTTCAAAATAACACGTCTACACACACAATACATTTCGAAATAGCGTTCTGCTATTTCAAAATAGCGCGTCCACACTGAGTGGACGCTGAATCACATTTAAGGCCGGCCGGAACCAGGTCCGGCAGGGCATCAGGTCAGGAGTTACTTTGTGTGGCTGCTGCCTGAGGCTATCTGAGGTCTGTGCTTAAAGGGATGCCCTGGACAGCCGGTTCTCAGGTTTCCCTGCTTGCTTGCCTACCTTCATGAGGGACAGCAAAGCTTATTGTCTCTGCATGATCTGGTTGCCCTCACTCGGGACACCACAGCACTCGGCCACATGGAGCCAGAGCGGCCCCTGGGCACTCTGGTGCTTCTCTTGGATGCGTTGCTGTGAGCTTCATGCACTTTCTGCAGGCTGCCATCTGGGAGGTCCATCTGGGAGGCTATCAGTATCCAGGAGGCCCTGCGGGAGAGCTTCCACCCTGAGGAGCACTAAGAGCCTCCCTGGTCTGCCCCACTGGGGGCTTGTGCCTCATTCCTCCCTCACATCCTTCCACTTACCCCTCCCTAACCCCCCTTCCTGATGTCAGATAAAATACACATATCTTCATTACGTATGTTCAAAAATAGAAACTGGGTTTATTGAACAAAACTGGGGTGGGAGGATGGACCTCTGGGGAGACTGGGAAAAGGAGGTGGGAGAAGGGAAGACAGAGGATGGGAGAGGGGAGGGGAAAACAAGGGAGGAGAGAGCTGAAAGGAGGAAGCAAGGGGAAGAAGTGGGAGGGGAAGCTCAGCGCTCAGGTTTGGGGGTCTCTCCAGACCAACTTGATTTTCATGCTAACCTGCTCCTGGGTTTGCATGTGGCCTTGGTGGTCAGGCTGACAGCTATCCTGCCATAGATGGCCACATTCCTTCATCTAGTGTGGAGATCATGGACGTTGGGGGCGTTCCCCCCAAACCTAAATAAGGTCTATGATTTCCACCCTGGACCAGGAAGGCGCCCACCTTCTCCTGCCCCTGTAAGGCTCTTGGGAGCTGACAGACTGCTCCTGGGGAGTGGTGGAGGGCTGGTTGCCAGTGGCTTGCTGGCTCATGTTCTGGGGCCACTGGGTCAGGGACCCCGATGGCACTGCTGGCTCTGGGCTGGCAGGCTTGGAGCTGGCACAGGCACTGTGGCCAGGGTCTACCCCTATGTAGGCTGGAGTGGCCACCAGGGCACCCTGGGAAGGCTATTTCAAAATAAGTGTCTACACAGCATTTATTTCGAAATAGCTGTTTTGAATTTGGCGTTATTCCTCATGGAATGAGGTTTACCAAATTTGAAATAAGCCCTCCGCTATCTCAAATTAATTTCAAAATAGCGGTTTGGCTGTGTAGACGCTAGTAAAGTTATTTCAAAATACCGGTTGTTATTTCGAAATAACTTTGCTATGTAGACATACCCTGTTTAAATGCCCCTTGCAGTACTGAAGCTGCAACTTCATAACATCAGAGGACCTCTGAGCACTTTACAAATGCCAATTAAACCTCGCAAGGGGAGGAAAGGGTTAATCTGTCCATACCGGTAAACTGAAGCAGAGAATGGTGGGTCTATCTGGGCCAAAACAGAAAGGCACAAAGCGCTTGCAAAGTAAGATCCTGACCCTGTAGACTGTTTGGCTTGAACCCCGTTGAAGTCGGTGCTAAGCTATCGGGACCTTAACTGCATGCAGCGGTGGGAGAAAGTGCAGCAATGTTTCTGGGGCAAGTGGTTAAGCGAGGAATTACGGCTGTTATTAGTGATGGCACAGAGAGGCAGAGAGATCAGAAGAAACAAGACCAACCCCGGCTGCATCTGCGTCGCAACGCTATTTCGGGATACCGGAGACTCCCAAAATAGCTATCCCGTGTCGTCACAGCACGCCCGTTATTTCAGGCTCACTATTCCGACGTCCCTGTAAACCTCATTCTACGAGGTGTAAGGAACGTTTAGGAATAGCGGGTTATTTCAAAAATTCGGCGCTGTGTAGACAAAATAAGCTATTTTGAAATAGCATTGAAATAAGATACGCCATTCGCCTAGCTCAAATTTCAAAATAATCCACACTGCATTGTAGACACACCCTAAGTGGGGAACTGCAGTGTAGACACACCCTAAGTGGGGAACTGCAGTGTAGACACACCCTAAGTGGGGAACTGCAGTGTAGACACACCCTACGTGGGGAAGACACTAAGCACAGGTTGATCCTCTAGGTTGGGGACTCTCTGGTTCAGCAACATCAGGCCACAGATGTTGCAGGACCAGAGAGCTCCAGCTACAGAAGTTGCTTGAGGCAGGGAACTCCGCCAGAAGTTGGGGGCAGGAAACCCTGCTAGCTGGGGTTGTGCTGTGGCCAGAGTGGGGCCAGCTGGACAGAACACCATCATGGGCAGGGAGCCCCACTTTCCAGAGCTGGGTGGCTGCCCAAAGAGGAAGCAGCTGGGGGCAGAGAGCCCCGCTGGTGAAAGTGGGACTGGCGGCCTGAAGAGGAGCCCACCAGGTGTAGCAGATCCCAGCAGGCGTGCTGGAAGGAGTGCAGTATCTGGGGCCACAGCCAGGAGGATAGCACCAGGAGAGCCCAAGGCCTGACCTTCCCTGGTCTGACAAATTCCCTAGTCGGGGACCGCTCAGGTCCTGAGTGTGCCGGACCAGTGAGGTCCAACCTGTAGGTACAAAAGGGGTGTCTAATTTAATGGCTACTGCTCAAGAAAGAGCTCTTGGCATTATTGGGCATAGTTCTCTGAAAACATCTGGCCACTGTGCAATGACGGCCCCCAAAAGTTCACAGTGTTAAGATAGTAAATGTCATAAGCAGGGCTCGCCAAGCGGCGGCAAACCCCACTCGCCAGCTGTGCGGTTCTGAGCTCTGCGCATGCGCAGATCGCTCTGCGCCGGCTCTTCCGGGTTGTAATCTACTCGCCACGGGTGAGTAGATTACATTATTTGTCAAGCCCTGGTCATAAGGCCGCTCTATAAATCCATGGCACATGCTAACTCTGAATACTGCAGCCAGTCCAGGCTGCTCCATCTGAAAAGAGACATCTGGGAAAGGTGCAAGAAGAGTAACAAAAATGATCGGGGGTAGGCTGAGGCATTTGGGTCTGTTTAGTCTCCAGAAGCAAAGAGTGAGGGGGGATTTGAGAGCAGCCTTCAACTCCCTGAAGGGGTGTTCCAAAGAGGATGGAGAGAGGCTGTTCTCAGTGGTGGCAGATGGCAGAACAAGGAGCAATGGTCTCAAGTTGTGGCAGGAGAAGTCCAGGCTGGATATTAGGAAAAACTATTTCACTAGGAGGGTGGTGAAGCACTGGAATGGGTTCCCTAGGGAAGCAGTGGAGTCTCCATCCCTAGAGGTGTTTAAGTCTTGGCTTGACAAAGCCCTGGCAGGGTTGATGTAGTTGGGATTGGCCCTGCCTAGGGCAGGGGGCTGGACTTGATGACCTTCTGAGGTCTCTTCCAGTTCTATGGTTCTATGATTCTATGGAACAGCTTCCATGTGAAGAGATATTAAAAAAAAACCCCAGACTGTTCAGCCTAGAAACAGTGAGTAAGGATGACTATAACAGAGTAAGGTGAGTAAGGAGAATATAACAGAGGTCTATAAAATTATGACTGGTATGGGGAGAATGAACAGGGAAGTGTTATTTACCTCTTCACATAATGCAAGAACTGGGAGGAGTTACCCAATGAAATAGATAGGCAGCGTGTTAAAAAAAAAGTACTACCCATAATGCACCGTTAACCTGTGGAACTCATTGCCTGGGGATGCTGTGACGGCCAAAAGTGTGAGTTTGCAGAGGAGAAGTCCATCAATGACTATTAGCTGAGATGGTCAGGGACACAGCCCCATGCTTCATGTGTCCCCAAGCGTCCAGCTGCCAGAAACATCAGGCATCGGCCACTGTCAGAGAAAATGCCGCTAGGCTAGATGGACCATTAGTCTGACCCTATGTGGCCACTCTTATGTAACTCTCAATGAAGTCCATGGAACAGGGGGTGCACGGCACAGGCGCAAATCACAGGGGCCCAGAGCCAGGATTTCAGCCAAAGCCCAGAAGTGAAACGGCCCCACTGCCTGAGCCGTGCAAACCTGAGCCAGCCAGCTCCAGCCAGCCATGGGTTTTTCTTTGCATTGTCGACTTACTCCAAGTGGCGTCTGCAGCTTTGCACAATGAATCAAGCAGAGTCCTGATTTGGTGCCTGCTCCTCATCATTAGATCAGTCAGGGACCCGGACTCTAACTACCCTAGAATGACCTTTTGGACTTTTGCTAACTTATGCTTGGACATATATGTAAGTGGGGGAATGGTCCCGCTATTGTGGGGAACTTTCCTGGCTTCTATACCACCCCGGTGAAATGGACCAGCGAAAGGATCTGAGTCCCTGCTCCCACTTCCTTTACCCCACGGCCTCCCTGATCCTGAGGGCTCCCCCTCCACTCTCCTGAGTAGCAGAGCCCTCGAAACCCCAACAAGGCTGGGCCCAGGTTTCCTGGGGCTTAATCCCTGCCCTTGTAGTCACTAGGGGCAGGGGTTAGGGTGTCCCCACTCCGAGGTGCTCTCTTTACACTGCAGGCCTTCTTGGCCCAGTGATCACTTCATAAGGTTCAAAGCAAATACAATTTATTAAACATCAACTGATTAAAGAGAAAAGAATAAGAAAAAATGAGAATGGTTAAATGAGAACACACAGCCCTGCTCTGTAGCACAGGGACATCAAAACAGCAGCCTGCAGAGTGTAAGGACAGTCCACAGTCTCTTCCTTATAGGCCCCTTAGAGGCCCTGGATGTGCTGCAGGGGGGGGGCTGCAGGCTGGACACGCTTGCACTGGCAGTGACCACACCGCCTCAAGCTCTAAGTGGCCAGACCCCTCTCCCAGTCCAGAGCCTCTCCCCACACTTTGCAGT